TGAGGTTTCCGCTGCATTCTGTAATGATGTTTCCTTGCATGATCTTATTTAAATTTCTTCCGCTTACCATCCCAAGGATTATTTTTACTTGAATCATGTTTCCAAATATTATGAGTAATCTTTAGAGATATACGTTAGATAATTCTAAGTATGTAATAATCAATAATAATAATTCGAGGAATGTTTATTTAAAAATAATAGTAATAATTATTGATTTTTGGGCTATTTAACTTATATACTTAGTCGAATTGGAATTTAAATAAATTTAAATTCCAATTCTTGTCCATTATTTTGAATAAAAAAATTCAATTGTTGTTTTTTTATCTTGAATAATGTATTCCAATTTTGGTCCTCGTCTTGGTAAAAAAAAAATTCAATTCTTGTCCTCCATTTTGAATTTAAAAATTCAATTCGCGTTCTTCATGTTAAATTAAAAAAAAATCTAATTCATTGTCTTTTATCTTGAATAAAGAAATTCAATTCTGCTCCTTCGACTTCGGTTCTTTGATTTTTTATCCAAGATGAAGGACAAAAACTCCAAGACGGAATAAGACCGTACGATATATTATCGAATGCTACCGATTATTATATTTAATTCTATCTTTACATTCTTACAGCATGAAAACTAAAAACAAAAATAAAAAAATAATAAATAATAATTCATAAATTTCTTAAAACTTAACACTGTTTAGGCCCCTCTTATAAGGTTATAAACCCTACTTCACTTTCTAAACTCTGTTGTACGATAAAGTCATCACTTCTGTAACTAAATAAATAAAGATAATAATTTAAAAAGTATTTTAATTAAAATTAAGATAATTCATTTGCGTTTTATCACGAGAAAGAGAACAAAAAAGAAAAAGAGAAAAAAAAATCATTATCTTTTGAACGAGATGAAAGGCGAGCCTTTGAAAGTAGTAAAGTGAGCAATGGTTTGGTTTGACGAATGGATACTTTTCTAAGATAAACTGAAACTGTTCGGCTTTATTTTGCCAGGTGGTCGACAGCAGCCCTTCTATCGACTGGATAAACAAACGATAGAATGCTACACCCTGACTTCCGTTAAAATGAAGGAAAAGCATAAAGACAAAACGCTATCCTGTTCTGCCAAAACGTCATTCACTTGTACAGAAACTAAGAATCATAAATCATTTAATTTTCTGTTATTTTCTTTAAAAAAATAAAAATAAATAAATAAATAAAAAAGAAGTTTTCCACGCTCGCTCATTTCTTGTTTTCATAATTTCATTAACTTCTTCTCGTAACTTAATTTATAAGTTATTGACTCCTTTCATAATATCCCCTTTCATAACTTTTTTCTTCCTCGTATTTATTTAACATTTTATACACATTCAACTCCATTTTTTAAATATTTACAACCTAATTAAACTTACTTTAATACGTTAAACAAGTGGAAAATTTTCATTAATATTATTTCTTTATGGTAATTGTTCGTCACTATCATAATTTAATGGGAAAAAAGGGATGCAAGATCGTAAGCACGTTCGCTGCATCATGTAACAAGATGAAAGGAACCGCTAAACAAGCATAATTAGTCAGCATAATCCAAGAAGAGTGTGCTAATGGAATTTCAAAATATTAATTGTAGAATCTTAAGGAATTAATTTATAAATTATATATTAAATTGTTACGAATTTTAAAAGTGTATTATTTTTTAAAACACTCTTTAATTTCTTTAAAGGAAGCCGGGAGCAGTAAGGTGACACTCTAAAAGTCAAAGATCAGCGTCATTAATGACGTCAGGCCGTATGTTTCACTTCGACTGATCGGTTACATGAATTGCATTTTATATCTTATAATATGCATAATATTCTAAATATTTTCTTATATATATATATATTTTTTTTTTTTTAAAGGAATAATGTAGATTATATTTTCTACCTTTTAAAGCTAATAAGGGATAGAATAATCAATCATTAAGCGCATCTTAATGTAAAATTAATGAACCTTACGCAAGTTAAAATGAGATAATTAGGTAAATTTTGTTAATTAAATTAGAAATTAAACGAGTCTGTTCGATTGTTTGAGAAAGTGAACGCTTTTACGTAAAACTGACGTCATTTTTCCCAATTTCTCATAGCGAAATCCAAGAGGTAACGTCAAATTGACGTAGTGTTTATACCCCTACCCCTACCAAACGAAAAGGTTTATTGTGTTTTCAACATCTACACGTACATACAAATTAATTTTAGTTAAAAAAAACGCTCTAAATTAATCAACATTTTACCTAAAATAAATAAATAAATAAAGTGATAAAGATCAGCTACATTTAACTCCTTAATAAACCCGTAAAAAATGGACATTACACTTCAATTTACTTACAGATTTTCTAACTTAAAATATAAAATTATGATACGTAATTACGGCTCCTTAACAATTTTTACGGCACAGAAAAAATTATTTAAAAAAATTAGTTTACAATCTTTCCTAATTAGGCATATGATAATGATGCCGCAATAAACGTTTAACAACAGAAGCTGAGTTAAAAATGAGAGATTGGAAAAAAATGAGCGGTGTAAAAAATGATATGAAAGGATATAGGCCCACTTAATTAAAAATGACTCTAATGAAAACCATTTGGCATCTAGAACAGAATCTTATCATTCCTAGAAGTGCAGATGTGTCGATAGACAAACTAGCTGTATGTTATACACGTTCACCATGAAAGCATGCTGGATTATTTTATGGGAAAATGATTTCTTAATTCTAATCAATTATTAATTTAATTCGTTTTTTTTAAATCTAAGAAATAATTAAATTTATTTGTTTTTTAAATACAAGTCTTAGAAGCGTATTCTTTGTATAATTATATTCTTAAATGATATNTCAAAAGTATAAGGAAAATATTGATTTTCAGGAGCAGTCATTTAAGCGTCGAAAACCATTAGAAAGGGTGCAATCTTTTGCTTCTTTATTGTCACCAGTAAACCATGTGAAAAAAGTTGGGAATGCTCTTCAGGTATGTTAATGACTAACAATGAATAAAAAATTACAATAACATGAATATTGCAGTATCAGAATATTAGCAAAAAGTATTAATGCAATTTATTTATTTAATCATCAAATTAAGCAAATTATAATGTGTTAATTAATGCTTATTGAAAATATATTTAAGTAATGGTTTTTCTCTGCATGTTTTTTAGCGATCATTTAGTGCAATAAAACTATCTCCATTGTCACTGAAATTTTCCACCCCAGAACATCGAAGATCTATGGCAGCTATAGAAAATTCTTCCATGATAAATTTGTCTTGCACTGATCCTATAAAAAATACTACTAAAAGAAATGCTTCAAATGATTATAATTCCTTCAAACAGTCTTATTACCAACCACCAAAAAGACGTTTGTCATGCTTATGGTTAGAAACACTTTCTCATGCAACTGCAAAATTTATGAAAGAGAAATTGACAAGACAGGAATTATATCGTCAGGAGGTATGTGATTTTGTTTATGAAATTTATCACAGGACAACAGTCCTCTCATTAGCATAAATATTGCATTTAATTTAATATTAATTTACAGATAAATTTTTCTGGAATTTAGTTATGAAATATTAACATATAACTTGTAAAAGATATGAATTCTACGAAAGAAAATCGTCGTATATTTTTTTATTTCTTGGTATAATCATTTTACTTTAATTAAGACCTTACTTCCGCAGGTTGTACGCTCCGACAGTCAGGACGCTCCCCTTTCCTAATATGGTAACATTACTACAACTTTTTGTTTTTATTTTTATTTTTTTGTTTCTGTAGACGTTCAATGAATGAAATTCCTCTATAAAATTTCTTTTTTTTTTTTTTCTTTTCCTTGTTCTCTATTAAAGAGTTTCTTTTAATGATTAGTGTAGATATTATCTTAACATATATGGTCTCGCCGGTAATTTATTTATGTCCGATATACTTTACACTTAAGACATTTCCTGCAAAGATTATTTTTATTCTGGAAAAAAATCTTATAGAATTACTTCTTCAAATTAAAATAAGTTTGGTGTAATTTATAATTACGCCATATTGGTTTCATTGATGCGAAGCCAATGGGAAAAATGTGAGAAGTTTCTTTTATTTCTTATTTTAAATGTTTAAATATTAAATATACAGTTATTTCTTTTTAAAATAATGCAATGTAATTTTAATCGATTTTAAAAAAATATATTATGTTCAACCCACATCATAAGTTTCAGTACACTGAACTCTAGTTATTACTTTATTACTAGCAGAATCCCATGACACATTAATTATGTAGAACGTTAAATTTAAAATGATTATTGTGCAAGAAAGAGTACATTTTTTTAAAGATAAGAATGAATATTTTATGATTTTTCACGATAAAATAGGAATTTCTTTTACCTATCCTCAAGTAAGTTGATGAAAAGAGTGTTGCAACAGTAGATCATCAATGGTCAGAAATGATGTTTGACATTATAAATGGCACAAACAGAAAAGTAAAACTGCAAAGAATGGGGTTAAGTAATATAGTAGAATGGCGTGGAGCCAAATTACAACAACTGAGCCATCTTGCAAAGAACAGAGAAATTATAAAAACGGAAGAAAGCACGGGTGCTGAACCCAAGATTATTGAAGATTCACGAAATTGAAGGACTTTTAAGCTATTGCCACAACAGAGAATTCAGTTAGGAAGCATAAAAATTGAAATTTTTAAACGAGTAATGGAATATCTCAAAAACATGAGGGAGATCGACATCATTACTATTGTGAGAAATGTGTCAAAATTTAAAACTATGCCACGTTTTTTAAAGGGAAAAAATGCTTTTTTAGATAATAATCAGATTGCTTCTGAGCGAATAATACAATTTAACAATAAAATTACTGTTATTATTTGCTATGTGCTGATTAATTTTGAGATAATTTACTTATTTATTGTTCAAAACGGATATTAAAAAAAATATATGTATCTCCTTTGAAGGATGATGAAAGCGGATAACTGAAGCTACTTCAATTCACATACAATTTATCAAATTGTTTATATTTAAATTTAATAAATTATAAATATAATTTTAAGACGTAATATTTATATTCTGTTTGCTATAGCACTGTTTACTAGGCAACATCTCTGGTAAATAGGATACTAGAGTCTCCTCTGACACACAGGACCCAAAAAATGTAATTATATTATGTATAAAAGTTTGATATTAAAAGAATTTTTAACTTATATAAATTTTATAGGTGATGAAAAATTTATTTTATAGAATTTTATTCATATATTTTGCATGGTTTAGAGAGATGGAGACCCTAAATTTGTTGCTCTACGTAATCTGGCTGTTGTCATTAATAGGATACATTATATATCATGCGAATAGATTCTAAAATAATTAATTAATTAACTTTTTATATTTATTTTAGTATTATTTATTAATTAATTTATAATGCATATGTATATAATATAAAAATATAGTCATGTAAAGTTTTGATAGAAATAGTTTTAAAACATTTTCTATTTCAAAAATATATTTATTCTAATAAAACTTAATTTTAATTAAGAACTTTTAATTGCTTTTTAAGATTAATAAAAATCGAAAATTAAAGTCAGTGACCGAAAAACAAAAGTTTTCTACAAAGTTTTCGATTTCATAAATACTTTAAAAATTATATTAAAAATTTAATATCCAATTAAATTGATTCATTTAAAAAAATTATCTTAAAAAGTCAAGAATGAGAAATTTATTAAAATATAATTATTAGACAGGACCAAAGTGCAGTAAATTGGGCTTACATCCCAATTTACTGCACTCTGGTTGACCCAATTCACAGAACATCATCTCATACATCATTGGCCCATTTCACCATTATCGAGGGCCTCATCTCGTACATCATTGGCCCATTTTACCATTGTCGAAGATCTCATTCATTTCACTAGTGTTCTAAGGCTCTTTGAATGTAATCCGCGCAATGACTTTATGGTACCACTTCTGTGTCAAAGTTTTCGAGTACAGACCGAGCCCATAAAAAATGAGGTCCGGTTGTATATTGAGCTAGGATTGAAATTAGTTTCTAGAGAGCTCATTTAGATCTCGAGAGCTTTCCTGGCTGTCCTACGTGTAGGAGGAGAGGGGTATTTGTCCTTGACAAGATTTATTCTTCCTCATCATCCCTGTTTCTTTTGCTTGATTTTTTTACTTCAACAATGATGTCTTCAGATAACTGTCCGTAGACAGCTAAGTCATTGTCAACGTTGACAAGATCATTGAATGTCCCAATTTCATCACTCGTTGCTGTAATAAAATCACTGTAATCTTCAATATAGTCGATGGATTCTGATAAAAACTCCGATTTATTCGAAGCGTCAACAAAATATTGTCTGAAACCTAATTTTATAAAGCAATTTGCGATGTTACTTTGTGGATCTTAATTCCAATCTTTTCTAATATTTTGCATTGTATCTAGCAGTTTTATTCCATCTTCAATAACGTATCTATGCTTTCTTACTGCATATTGCACAGGTAATGCCTAGGCATCACGGAAACTTTGAGGATTTAATGATTATCCAATTAATAACGATGGTAGTTTTTCATCACCTGTCACGTTCCCTCCCAAAAGAAAAGTTACACAATTTTTGCTGTGTTTTTAGTGATACGAATCCCCTTTATTGTTTTGTTAGGCAGACGTTTAAAAAATAAACCTGCTTTGTCTGAATCGGAAAGTCATCAGGGCTACAATTTCTAATAACCTCTTCAATCATTTTGCTCAATCTTCCTCTCGCACTTCTTCTCTTTCATTACAGATTTTTTATTGAAAACACCATCCACCCCGTTTAAAGAGCAAATGAATTGCACACAAAATTATTAGACATGAAGTAAAGTCTCCGGATCTTAATATTCGAATTAGTGAATCGTAATCACAAAATTACTTCGACTTAAAGAAGTTTGACTTATCGAAGAGGGACATTGACTTATCCGTCCATTAGTTACGTGTACAGTTTTACGGGAGGAAATTGCGAAAAGTACATCGTTTTACACGTGGGAAGGGAGGAAATTCGTGCAAAGTACATCATTGTACACGATGAGGAGGGAGGAATCAAGGCATGTTCTACGTGAACGTTTTTAGTGATTCTGATATTTTTGAAACCGTGTCAGTAATTTATTTCAATTCAAACACAAATTATTTATCGTATTCATACAGACATGTTTTTAGTGATATTAGTGACGTATAAATTTGTTCTTAAAAGACTACTTACTGGTTACATGAATATACTGTCATTAAATGTTTCCAGAACTTTTTAAAGTCATTTCTTCAATGTTAGGGGGTCCACGAACTATTGTACACGTAGTTATAAGGAAGAGAGTTTGTTAAAAGAACCGTACATGATTGTACACAGAAAAGGGAAATCGTCAAAACTGGCTGAAAAACTGTACACGTAACTTTTGGGTAGCCCCAACTCTACTGTATAATAAATTAAAACCGTCACTTAAGAAGGTAGAAGGAATCCTAAAGGACCTAGTCTAAGATCTTCACTGTCCAAAGCCACTAAATGACTTTGCTACTTCCTGTCTATCGAGACATGTTATCATGTATTATTTACAATGTAATAGAAAAGTTATCATTGTTATACATTCTCCCGAAATTCACGCGATATTTACGTATTTTCATTTAAACAAATTTCGTGTTTGATGTGGAGGTCATTCATTCTTATTTGTTAAATAAATATAGAAATATCTTTTGTTCAGATAACAGACGATGCCGAGTCACTTGCGTGTCTGGGATATTGAAGAGAAAATATTCTAAAAATTATCTTCATTAGTTTATAATTAAAATATGTTTTTATTAAAAAGTTTTATTTTTTTAAAATCATTTTTAAAAATGAAAAATAACCTCGTGTAAAATCTAAAGCAAAAAATAATCTTACACTTAACAATTACATTAAACGTAATTTTTTCGTCCAATGGTTTTTTCTATTTTTTAAAATTAAAAAATTACATTAAAATTATTAATGCTCATTCAATTATTATAGTAATGTTTTGTTGTTAAATCTGATTTTGTTTTAAATTTATTAAATAAAATATTTTATTAAGTTTTGGATACTTAATAATGTTTCGTGGTGCCATCTCTTGATAGAATTCAAAAGCACTATCCATTATTTAACCATAAATTCATTTGTTTTGTTTCATTCAAATGAGTGTTTCGCGGTACTTTTTAAAAATAAAAATATTTGTTAAATAATCATAAATGTCAGTTTTCTCATTCTCAACTACTATCTGTGTCATTTATGGCACAGATAGCATTCTGGAGGTTATGGATTACCATGATAATAATCCCTAACTTTCGAAAAATGTGACATAAAAATGTCCAATTTTATATTAATTTCATGGCAATAAATTTGAAAAAACTCGATTTTCAAGTAATTTGACGAATATTGTTTAGTTACCAAAGAAGTATACCACAGAAGCAAAAGAGCCCTTGAAGAGGGACATTCGGAACGGGGAAGTATCCTTCCTGTAATTTACTTACTTTTTTTCTTCTTTATTCTTTATGAAGCAAAGATACTTTATAAGAATAAATAGTGATTATACTGACAAGATGTTCCCTTCAGTTTTTCTTTACAGCATAAGCAAGAACTATTATTTTGAAGATTCCTTTGAAACAGGATCCTTGACCCTCTTGCTTCTACACCACACTTATGCACATTCTGGGTTGCCATAAGTTTGGCATCATAACTAAAATACTGAAAACATTCACCACTACTAATTTTCTTTGTGCATACCAGCTTTTCTAATTGGCCCCGAAAATAAAAATCTGAATATTTGCAGAATTATTTAGATTCGTTCTTCCTAAAACATGCACAAAATGATATAAAGAATATAGATTTTTATGCGAACTTAACTATCACTTTCTAGTAAACTGAACTCATTACAATTAAATCGACTTAATTTTAATTAATTTTGTATTTTTGTGCCTGAGTAACAGTTGGATTTGTGCATTAGTGATACTTTTTCTCAATCATATTAATTTGCTACGTGCTGACTGATCTTTATTGTAAATAACCAAGATTACAGTTTATATCTCCAAAGTTAGTATTGATATATAATATCTGTAACTTACATATATCTTTATTATTCTACTGTAAATATTTAATAGTTTGTAAGCAAATATAGAAAATATAATTCGGGTAATTCAATTCTATCGAACCAGAACTGTAATCCAATCAGGGAAATTTATGAATAAAGTCATTATTGACTGTTGACTTATCTGAGATTTACATGTTTCCTAATTTGTTTAATTATTTTATAGCCTATTATTTCTTGATTTATCTGAAATCTTTCGTGTGTAATGTGAGAAATTAATGAAATACAGAAGGAAATAGATTTCGGGCCTTCTGCTTGTGTAATAAAGTTGGCATAGTCAATTACTGATGTGTTCTCTGTTCTTCAGCAAAACTTATGCTTATCACTAAAGGATCCATCAGGAGAACGAGTAGCAATTAAAGAGGAAATTCTGTTTGCTATGATATTGTAATCACTTATTACCATCCTCGGTAAATGAAAAGTTTTCAATGTGGAAACTAAAGAGTGATGGTCTTACTGTGGCTGAAATTGCATCAAAATTTGATCATTGTAAAGCCTCTCAGAAAAATGGAATTTATAAAATAAAATCACAGCTTTCTGACAGACCAAAGACCAATTATGAGAAAGTTGACCAACATATCAGACACTTGGCAGTGTAGAAAAGATATATCTATTTGCAAAATACAAAAAGAATTTAAGAATATGTTTTTAGGAACACATCCACAGACATCTGTAAACTAGTCCTTAAAACAGATATGCAACAATGGCAAAGAATCATCACCCATCAGGACCACCCATATTAATTTCTTCATCATTACAACTATTTTAAACAACTCATCTGCCAGTACTTGTGCTTCTTTGTTAATACTGATTTAACAAAGCACAAGTACTGGGCAAATTTTCAGCTTACAACAAGGTGGTGGCACAGTAATGGTATGGTGTTGTATTGGCGACGATAATGTCTGATCACTTACATATATTGAGGGGGGGTTTCCGTACGTATAGATATTAGTTGTGTATATATGTGAAGGCATAATTTTGTTCACCCAATTTAAAGCCTAATAACTCTCGTACCCTTTGTTAAAAATTTCTAAAATTTTGCAGAGAGGTTTGTGTATTTAGTGATATTGATACTATTAAATTTTGGTAGTTAAAGGTCGAGGAAGTGGGGAGATAGAGAGGATTGTGTATCATATCTCGAGTGGGGTTGGACTTAATGAAGATTTTACTTGTTATTAGAATTTGCAATTTTTTTTCTTTATAAAGCTTTTTGCCATTTTATAATAATTAACAATATAAAAATTAAAAAAAAAATAAAATCTCATAACAGATGGTGCCACACATGATTTTAATTCTTGTGGAGAACATTAAAACATTTTTCGAAGTATTTTTAATATAAAAGCTTCTAATGCTGTTCTGTGTTATACATTAATTTATATTTGTTTACGACACGACGTCAAGATTCAATGTTATCTCACAATTTCGTTTCATTCCAGCTATCGTATGACGATGGCATGTCAAAGTTAGGTGATAAAATGTGTTTCAAATTATAAGATTTATCTAAGGAATGTTTCAATGTCTGTTACACTATATCAAACTTTTATAAATTGACAGAAAATAAAAAGTTTTTTTACGTATAATTTTCCTTCATTTACGGAATCGGTAAGTCAATAACTACTAAAATATCCAGCAATGAGTTATGTAACTTTCCTGGTAAAAATGTAAAAATTGTGTGTGGCGCCATCTATTACGAGATTTTATTTAGAAAGCTTTTTATCATTAATTAAAAAATAGCGAAAAGCTTAATTTTGAGGGTAAGAACGAGTTTTATAAAAATGTTGTAAATTCTAATATCTTCATTAAGTTCAACCCACTCGAGATAAGACATGTAACTTTCTCTATCTCTCCACCCCCTTAACCTTTAACCAGTAAAATTTAATAGTATCAATGGTCACTAATACACAATCCTCCCTGCAAAATTTTAGAAATTTTTAACAAAAAGCACAGTTGTTAATCTTCAAATTGGGTAAACATAGTCGTGCCCCACACCCACACCCACCAACGATCATCCATACATATAGCAAACCCTCCCAACATTTTTGCATTTCTCGACATTTCAAGACCCCCTGAGTCCAACAATGTAAAAATCTTGACGGGCAATTTTTTGACCGATCGCCACACTTTCTCTGTGTATATATACTTTCCCGGGTATATATAACACCCGGGAAATGATTCAGACACGTGACCAGTTATGGCACTTGTCACGTGTCGAAATCGGACTTCAACGTGGCGACTAAAAGTCAGTTAACCTTCGTAAAAGCTAAATTTCTATCTTATAAAATTAATTTACTATTTACAAACTTTACAAGTAGTTCAAAATAAGGGATTTTCTCGAGCGATTCAAAAGTTTTGTGCAGGTTAACTAACTTTTGGGCCACCGTTTATATTTTTGATTCTATATATAATTTTTGAACATTAAACGAGAACTTATATATCTAGATTATATAATACAAAATGATTATAGACATAAAGTTAATAATAAGATAATGTAATAAATACAACTGTACTTTTTACATTTATAACTATGAACAATCCTTGTAAAATTTAATAAATTTAATATAATTTGTATTGAATATTTTAATATATTAATAAGTCCATTATCACAAAACTTTTTAGAAAAATTTATTATGCATTGTAATGATAATTAGGATAAATTAGATTAATGGAATGAGCCAACGTAAGACATGGGCAATATGCCAAGAGGAGGGATCCTCCCGGGAGGACTTTCTATGGGAAACTGGTCCTTGTTTAAGTCTTAGACACGTCAGAAAACCTGGAAAACTCTACGTGACCAGTGTATTGGTAAGATGCGAACCCACAACCGCTGTTCTACAGTTTTATCCATTCCAGCGACTAAGGAGCAAAATCCACATTATAATAATCGTAATTAATTTAACAAAATTATATTATATATAATATACATACATTGATATAGTATTTGTGATCAATTATGATGTCAATTAATTTAAAATTAAGAATTCACTGAGATAGTTTTTAATTTGTGATGTTATTATATAATGGATAATTAAGTTAATAAATCACGAAGTAGAGCTTATAATTGAATCAATTAGGATAGACTCAAATTCTATTAAAGTTTACGCAAAGAAGAATGCAAACGTGGTAGTTAAGGAGATATAAATATCTAAAATTATCGGAAAAATCTTTTAAGTTAATCGACTTTCTTAATTATCGATCGATTAACGGATGCGATAATCCGTTAATCGATCCGCATATTAAAATGCAACTTTAATATGCATTTTAATGATTATTATAGAGGCTTCTATATATTATCCTTGGTAGTAGGGTACGAGAAATAGGTGTTTTATTGAAATGGTTTAAATGATAATTTAGAAGATGGAGAAGAAAAATTAAAGAAAAATTCTGTGTAGGAAATTATTCAGATTCTTTAGTATCTTTGATGTAGGATATTGTATGATTTTAGAACGAAGAGAATTTCCTTAAGCTCTGCAAACACCGAAACATCAAAAACTTGATAAGAGAGAGCTATTTTGGAGGCTTTATACTAATATTACACTGAATAACACTAATTTCTTATTGTATTTGGAGCAATTGGCATTGATTCCTTAAGGCAGAGACATAGCATCCAATTTTGAATATTGGGAAAAATAATTTTAGATTTAGCAATAATGAAATTATTTATCTAATATACTAATACAGAATATATATTTACAAATGATAATGAAAAATTTCTGGGAATATTTAATTAAGATTATCCGAAAACAATTGCAAACTGTTAATATCGATTTATCCGAAAACAATTGCAACTGTATGGTATGTATATTGTCTCCAATTCTAAGATTATTCAACGTGTCGGGTATAGCTCTTTGCAAAACCAAACACCAAAGACTTAACAAGACAGAAATAATATTTTGGAGACTTTACGCAGCATTTACGATAATGTTACAATGGATGACAGTCATTTCTAATCTGTATTTGTACCAATTGCCACCAACAGATACCTTCAGACGGAGGTATGACATGTCGCTGCAAATTGATCCTTCTGGTAAAGTCTTTATACTCGCGATTATATCATGGAATTTTTTCTTTGGGTGTACTTTTATATTAGTTAATGCCTCAAATGTCGACGAAATAATAGAAAATTTGAATAAACGTTATTTGTCTATGAATTCCAGACCAAAGAAAGGGCTTGATTTCGAGAAGAAAGTAGCACTTATTGCTAACATATCATTCGCATTTCTGTGCATTGTGTTGACAGGAGCATCGTTCATTGCATTATTTCTACTCAGTTATTTTAAAATACTATCAATGCAAAAGTATACAACCTTGATATCCCCGTTACATTTTTGGCTCGAAGCTATTTTCTTAACTACATTATATACTTTCAGTGTTATTTCTGGAGCACTTTGCTTATTAGTGGTTACATGCGTATGGAACATTGTTTTCTATATTGGAAGCAGTTCAATAAATATAATAAATAATAATTTGCAACAGACATTGCATCGTTCTTCGCTATCTTTGCATGCAACGAAAAGAGATATGACTTTATTTTACAGTCTTCTAGACTTTTTTAATCTGATTAGTGACGAACTAATACTTTTATTTATAAGTTTTGGTGGTGTTTGCCTCTGTTTACTTTACGATATAATAACTTCTGATTGGCAAAAAGAAAGTTTATTTTATTTGTGTTTCGTTTTATATTTTACGATTGTGTTAATAAGTATTTATATTTTC